TACTATTCATTAATAGTTATCCTTAAAACTTAAGAATGGATCCTTGACTTAAGGTATAAAGGAGGTCAGTGCCTCCCAAGCAATACCAATGCCTTAATATTCTAATCTTCCTCTCCCATGTCCCATGTTATTGTTTAATATTATATTTCCACCTTGTTTTAACCATATTCCATTAACTATTTTTCTCTCGTAGTCTTATTTAGATTTGCTAATGTGTTTACTCATTACTCAATTCTTTGCTCACAACTTCCTTTTGTATCCACATCATTCTCTTGGGTTCTAGTTCATTCTCATTCAGGAATATCTTCTAGCAAGTACTGTTTGCCTATCAAAATCTAACACTGCGAAGTTGAGTCTCTCAATCTAATAACTTGCATGAGGAAAAACCAGACTTAAACACAACTCTCCCCAAATTCATCACTACTATATTCCTTTACTTTGCAAAGAAAACAAAACAAAACCTTGCCCTGAACAGAGTGTTAGAAACATTAATTTATCTATTTTCTACTTTTGGATAGAAATCAGCAATGATTCAAACTATATGATCTTTAAATAGAGCTAGGCAGAATGTGTTGCTATAAAACCTATATTTCTGTAAAACTGTGACAAGCTGCATTAAGATTTCAGCCTTAAGTTACGCTATCACAGGTTTTATCTTAGCCCCACCTCCTCCTTCAAGCTTTTGACCTGTTTAGATAACTCAACACCATGTACTGAACATGAAAGAAATTGCTGTTATGTGGATGCTATGTTTCCAGAAATCAATGCTGCCAAATGTTTTCAGCAGATATTCTTCAGACTTCAGTTAATATCAAATAGCTATAACAAACAGTGAACTTGAGGTTACCTAGAAGTGCCTTCTGTAGTTCAGACATGGACTTGGAAAAGGCATGGAAAAGTCAGGGCTGCTCAAAATTGGATGTCACATAAAAGAAATTACAAAATCCTTGTAAGGTTGTGATGTAGTTCTTAGGTGATCCAAATGGAAGTAAACAATGTCATGTGAAGTCTGGAATTTCAATTACGTGCCCCTATAGTTCTAAAGCTATAATATGGAGACCAATAAAAAATTCCCTGCCTGCTGTCTCTCCTGAGCTCACCTGGCCCTCTATTCAAATAAAGACATTCATAAGAGAATGTCAATCTTGCCATCTCCTAGTAATCTGGCACCCAGAGCAGCTGGACTCTTCCCTGGCCAGCACTAGAATGATGACAGCTCTACAATCTTGCCATAAAATGTATCCAGCCTAGGTGTGAAATGCTATAAAGGATCCTCTATCTATTCCCGTCAGAGATCTTAAATACAATCAAATTAGAACACCCAAAGTACTTTTGGTCTGTGTTTGCTTATAACCTTGTAGAATTGTCTTTTCTCAGTCCCCTTCAATTTTGGACCAAGTAGCAGCCATACGAAAACTTTTGCACTTGCTGTGAAATTCCCACTAAAGAGTTGCAATTATTTCTTGATGGCCATTATTTTAAAATCTACAGAACGAATTCCCGTTAGAATTTAATTATCCTGGTGTCCTCCATTTTGAAAACTTGTTCATATATTTTATTAGGAGCTCATGTTCCAACAATTCCGTTTTTGTGAATCTAACCCAAAGAAGTAATTCTGTTATTATTTAAAACTGGAAGAAGAAAAACCTGGAATTAAATGTCCAAGAACAAGAGAATTTATGCAAATGTGGCATATGAGCTAGATGGGTTCACAATGCACATTGATAATATACCATGAAAGCGTTTCGTGACAAAATGATGAAAGCACTGTAAGAGTGGATTTAGAGTGGAGTTGGCTCTGGCTAAGCCATATGAAATTCTGACTTGTCCAGCTTGTCTGACATAGTTGTGAAGTCAGTGGAAACACAGGCACCTACTTAAATGAGTTGACTTCCATGACTATTTTAATTTTTACCTTGGACCAAAGGATTCAGAAGATATGGGCACAGGTTCCTGGGAATGGGGAACACAGAGGACAAGGAGGGCATATGGTGATTAGCATTACCACCTTGGATTGATTTTCAAGCTCCCTACAGAGAGTTTATGGGCAAAAATGAAATCCCATTATTGCATGTTTTCGTAAGGCCATGTACCTCTGATTCGCTGCACTTACCACAACTGTTCATCTTCCTTTTTGTTCTACTAGTTCTACTAGGGCAAGATTTCTCTTAATTTTGCACACTACTTGACACATAGTCATAATAGCTGAGGGAAGGCAGAGAAGGGAAAAGGTAAGGGGGAAAGGGATAGAAAAAAGGAGAGAGGAGGAAAAGAGGGACGCTGTAGATCCAGGTGAGAGTACACTTATCAATCTAGGAAAGCACTCTGTGGCCGCCTGGAACACTGTGAGGCCAAGAACTGGTGAAACCAACAGGAAGGCAGGTATGCCTTGGCACCTGGCTGCTTTGTACCTAGGGGATGTATCGGGACACGTCATCCCAGGCAAGGCAGGATTCTCTGGCAGGACCAGCAGCGGTGCATGTGACAGAACACTACTGAGGCGGGCAGAAGCCCAGCAAGCCTGTCAGGAGGACAGCAACATATTCAGGCATGGACTTGTTTCTGTATTCTCAGTATTCTGAGACCAGGGATATGGGACATATCAGGAAGTGTAGGCAGGGGTCCGGAGCCAGTAACGTGGAGGTTCGGCCCCAGTGTGATCTGTCTGTAGCCTCAGATGGTTATCACTACGGACATCTGAAACACCGTAAGACTAAAACAAAAGTAAGGTTATCAAAATGGTACTAATTTTAATGGCTGTAGTTTCTCCCCTCTAATGTTCTTAATTAATTACTTCTATGGTTAAAAGAACATGTAATAGGAAAAAAATGTACCTTATTTAAAGAACTGCTATTTTCTTTGATCAATTGCTAAGAATTTGTCATCTATTGTTTCTGCCTTTTCCCCAATTGTAAGAAAACTGAGTCAAATTCTGTGTTCATTCACAGTAACTATATCAGTATAGTGGTCTAGATAGTTGCTTTCTTTTCATTCTACACGGCCAAGGGCCATAAGAAAAAAAAATCTCCTGCAAAGCCTTTTCTATTTTGTCTACCCCTGCTGACATGAATCTTTACCATACAAGTTCGTTTTTAAACACATACCATCCTCCCTAATTATGTGTGTGAATTAGTTTTTCAACTAGACCAGTGAGTCTCAATGAGTGGTATAAAGAAGAGAGAAGGAATCAGATGATGAAAGGATAGGTTGACATCAGAACCACTTGGATGTGACCTTTCTAAATTACACACAGCAGCTAACCTGTGCCCTCTCAAACCACAAGCATCACTGCCATTGTGAGATGACAAACCCAAGGCAGGAGAATTAGGAGGTAAAAAGGATTAATAACCAGTGATGAGAATATTTTCACTCAAAGTTTAGAATGAGAAGCTTATCTGTTTTAATCTTACATCTAACACTTACTCTAAAATCTTTATTCTTGAATGACTATAAAAATAACCTTTCTTTCAACATATGAATATTAAATATATGCTAAATGCTAACAAATAGAGCTCAGTAAATTTCCTTTAGGTCTTATTTTTCAATTAGACTTGGGAGTTCCTTTACATTGGGAGTTTCTCCACCTCAGCACCAATGACATTTTGAACCAGATAATCATTTATTATGGGGTGTTTAGGCTAAGTTGTGGGTCCCCCTCAACACCACTCATATGTTGGAGTCTTGATCCCAGTTACCTCAGATGTGAATGTATTTGGAGATAGGGTCTTTAAAGAAAGTGGTAAGTGAGGTAAAATAAGACTAAAAGGATGGGCTCGGATCCTGTATGACTTGTATCCTTATGGGATTAGGACAGACATGTGAGAGCAAAGAGGAAAGATCATGTGAGGACACAGTGAGAGGGTGGCCATCTGCAAGCCAAGAAGAGAGTTCTCAGAGGAAATGACAACTTGATCTTGGACTGTTACCCTCCAGAACTGTGAGGGGGAAAAAAAAAAGCTTCTCTCGTTTAAGCCACCTAGTCCATGGCACTATGTTATGGCAGTCCCAGCACACACTCCATGGGGGTTGACCTGTGTGCTGTAAGATGTTTAGCAGCATCCCTGGCCCTCTACCAAATGATACCCGTGGTAATCCCTCAATTTGACAGTTGTGACATTACCGAATGTCCCATGAGGGGAAAAATCCTCCTCTCCCCACTGAGAACCACTGTTTCAAATGGCCTCTGGTCATTTTTGTACTGCCAGTGCTCAGCACGGTGACTGCTACTTAAACAAGTAGACAGTCAAGTATTTACTGAATGAATTCACTTGCCTGGCTCTCTCTCTTGGTCTCACAGCTTCCTTGCAAACTCCTTTTGCTGCAATTAAAGTAGTAATTACTTTCAGTTTAATTTACAGCAGACTGTGTACTTTTTAATAAATGAGCGGTTTTCATTTTAGTATAATTTTTGGCAACTCAGAGACATAAGTATCACATTAATGTTAAACCCTATGTTGTCTGACATTGCTCAGTCATGGCACATCAGATCCTTTGACAGATTCAGTGTGTGGTGCTGCTTTTAGTTTCCGTAAGGTGCCACTCGTGATTTTAGATGAAATGACTATGACAAATTCTCACAGAACGATTTGAAGCTTAGGGAACTCATAAAGGAAACAAATGACCATTAAAGTGTTAAAATGCCTAACTCTAAGTCATAATGAGACTCTACAAACTTTCCAGAAACCCAAGAGCATACCAAAATGCCAAAGTCAATGGAGACAACCTCTGGAAAGGGAAAGTCACAAATATCCTGGCACATTCATAAATCTGTTGCCTTAACATTGCCATATTTGCTATCGTGTTTGGGTTGGGAGGCGGCAGGGGGATGGAGGCTGACTCTGACATGCCAAAGAGAGGCATAAGCAACTCTGGAAGGAACTGGTGGATATTTTGCAGAGATAACAACTTCTGACCAACCCCTTCCAATGAATTGTAGCTTATACTCAACTAGTCACATGACACTGTTTCAAGGACATGGTTTTAAATTGATATAGAGTCTATTCATTTACTAAATTCATTTATTTTGTATTCTTTTTAATAGCTGGAATTCAAAGTGTTCAAAATCGATTTACCCAAGTGAAAAGAAAGACTAACAATAATAATTTTTAAGTGCCGTTTCCAGAAACTATGCTCAATGTTTTAAAGTTATTGTTTAAATTAACTTTAAATGTAACTTTAAATTATAATACTAACATCCTATTCCGAGTAACGCATAAGACATGGGTCTAACAACTATCTTAAACTTGGGCAACAGCCATCACCTAACTGCTATAACGGGCATGGTGGAATCCAGGCATTCGGTACTTACACACACCAAGGATATGAGTTATGACATCCTGCCTCTCCAAAAATAAAGAGGCCTTAACTCAACTGTAACTTGTAGTAGGCAGGTTGAAGAATCCTTTTCTGAAGTTGGTTTCTCCATGGAAGAGAAGGAGAATGGCTTAAAGACACTATGAATTCTAGAAATAAAACCAAATAAAACACCTCTGCCAAAAAATCTGTGTACTCTGCAAAGCTGGTGAACTTTGTCAGTTATTTTTAGAGAGATGTTTTAGAGGCAGGGGGTAACTGACCAAGTGAGGATGTTTTGTAATTTTTTTTTTTCTGGAAAGGCAGAAGAGAATGAAAATCAGTTTAAAATAATATTTAGAACTTAAAATCTTCACCTGGGCACTTATAAATATGACATCTATATGGCAACAAAAAGTATCATATTCTGATCACTGCATTGGAAAAGTCAGCCAAAGCCCACACTAATTCCTATTCCGTTTATTTCTAGGCTCGATCTCGGCACTTTCAGCTGATCTTGTGCGACGATTGTGTCCTGGACTTATTTCTGTGTCCTGAAGATCATTTCTGAAAACAGTAAAAAGAGGAAACAGTGTCTTAGAAAATAATGATCATTATTATTCTATAGCGGTTTCTAGTTTGCAAGTGCTTTCACAGGTATTTTCATTTAACCCCCCAATTAGCTCTCTATTCCACTAACAAATCTATTATAATGATTTATTATTATTACTATCCCCACTTTACAAATGAGAAAACAGTAACTTAGCAAAGATTACAGACATGGGTGATAGAAGCCAGGAATTGAACCCCTTTCTTTTGAATCAAAATCTAACAGTTTTACATTTCTGCTTAACATGTAGAAAGATGCAAAAAAATAAAATAAAATAAATCTGCTCTCATCCTAACAAGGCAAAGCCAGATAGTCTAACAAAATCATAACGTTTCTTGATCCTGTCAGAGCTGAGGCTCTGACAAGAAAACAGAATTCCAAAGAGAGATGGGCCACAAGAATTCTCTCACTGTTGGCAGAGCGCTGGAGAAAGGTCGTCAGCTAACATTTAAATGAATTCTGAAATATGGGCTAGTACTGAAGGCTACTGACACAGGAAAGTTTCACACATACTTGCAAGTTCTTTTCCAGAAGCCTCCGTCAAGTGCTCATGAGAAAAATGGGGAGGGCAGAAGACTGAAGAAAGCCCACTTTGGTGGCATAGGTATAAAGTAGATGACTGGGGGTGACAAGGGTCAGATAGAAAGCCCTACCTCTTCCCTGGACCCTTCTCTCCTATGAAACTAAAGCTTTACGTTGCCAAGGGAAGATCAGGAAACTCACTGCCCATGGGGCTCAGGCAAAGACCCACTGTGCAGAGGGAAAATCTCTCTGCCTGAGGGAGAAGGGTAGGAAATCTTTTGTAAGAGCCTAAAGATTCATTATCGTTGGGGAAATGGAAGAAATAAAAACCTCTACCTCTCCAGGAGGCAGAAAACCCTCTTGGGCTGATGATGATCTAGCACAACACAATACCGAGCAGAGATTAGGTGGCAGCAGTCTGATTACCATGGGAGGAGGGAGGATGGAGAGAGTGCTGAGAAAGCCCCATCCCTCTCCAGGAGCTAGGCAACCAATGAATAAGCAGGAGCAGTGAACAACTGAGGGAGAGAGAGGTACAGACATGGAGAAGGGATACCTCTCTGGAGTGCTAGCATGCAGAGATGGCTGCAAGGTAAGCATGAGCAAAACCTGTGAGCAAAACCCTCTGGCAATCCAGCCCCCATACTAAACACAAGGTACAAGCAGCCCACTGCTAGAGGAATCTGATGCCTGATTCACTGAACATCACGATGGTAATAAGAATACTTAGACCTAGGTCAACTCCCCACACTGCCTGACAGAAGAAGCACACCTGTTTTCCAGGCATAAACACTACTGACCTTAGTCTCTATGGTCTTTCACGGTATGTCTAGCATTCAAGCAAAATGTATGATACACAAAGAAAAACAAACAAACAAACAAAAAACCCATCGTCAAGAGATGTCAGCATTGTGCTTTTTTCATCTCCAAAAAATCAGTGTGTTCCTTTCCATTAGTTCCTTTCTATTCGCTGTTTTTTCAATCATTCCGTACTCACATCCAGTCCTTTTACCCGGAAGCGTCAGATATGAGAGGGATAAAGGCATTTTTATAAAACTTACAGAGACTCATAATGTTCCCCATTTTGACCTATGTGGGCTGTGGTAAGGAGACTCAGTGAGCAGTGTACCCAGCTGCTTGTTCATTAGCCTTTTGATCTAGGACAGGTGCTGACAAAATTTTTTTTTAAGGGCCAGATACTTGGGACTTTGGGGTCCATATAGTCCCTGTCACAACTACTCAATTCTGCTGTTGTAACATAAAAGGAGTCACAGACAATAGATAAACAAATGTGTCTGGCTGTGTTCCAACAAACTTTATTAACAAAAACAGCAGACTAGACTGGACCAGTTTGCCAACCTGTGACCTAGAACCATGTTGATCTAACAACAGAAACCAGGTGGCTGAAGCAGAATTAAATCTGACCTCTCTTAGCTAAGCTGCCAGTCAGAGGGTGTACCAATCTGGACAGTATAGGATAGACTGCTGCTGAGAGAAAGAAAGAGGTATAATGTCCAGCAAGTGAAGAAGGAAACCTGAGTTTCTGAAAAAGATCAGTATAACCCCAACACCCTTTTTGTCCTGATTGTTATCCAGAAAGTGGCTAAAAGGAGATGACCCCTTTCTGGGGACAGCAGCATTCGGTGATCAAAATATCTTACTAAGGTGTGTGGACCAAGAGGAGGTGAGGGAGTTTTTTTTTGTTTTGTTTTGTTTTTTTAAGGAGGCCATTCCAGCATCCAGTAATATTAGATGCTTGTTAATTGTAAGGAAGATAAAAAGTCCATCAAATCCCTTGACCATCAGCTTATTGCTGATTCCAGTCAATCTCTTTGGAAAATGGCCCTTCCTATTGGTATCTACTTGAGTGACTCTAATGATTTGCTCAGCATCCTCTAGGTTTGCAGAGCCACAGGGGGATGGTGGTGGGGGGAGGGGGTCTTTAATCTGCCAATCTGTGACCGTTCTGACCATCTCTATGACCTGATTTAACTAGTCACCTCCTCAATCCATATCTTGCACCATTTATAAAAATTAAATTGGTCACAGACCTAAATATAAAACCTAAAATTTCTAAAACATAAGAGAAAATCTTTGTGACCTTGGGTTAACAAAACATTTCTTAGTTAGGACACGAAAAGCACAAACTATAAAAGAAAAAATTGATAAATGAGATTTTATCAAAAATTGCTCTCTGAAAAATACTGTCAAGAAAATGAAAACACAAGCCAGAGTGGATGGAAGTTGCAAAAACACATATCTGATAAAGAACTCTCAAATCTCTATAATTATAATAATAATAACAACAACAACCACCACCCAATTTATAAAATAGGCAAAAGATGAGGGGACACTTCATTAAAACATAAGGAAGGCAAATATACACATGAAAAAAAAATCTACATCATTAATCATTAGGGAAGAGCAAATTAAAATAACAATAAAATACTACTATATATCTACCAGAATGGCTTAAAATTTCTTATAGGTTGAAAATACTAGATAATCCCATAATGCCACTCCTAGAAATTAACCCAAGAGAAATGAAAACTTATGTCCAAGCAAAATACTGTCCTCAAATGCTTATAGCAGTTGTATTCACAACCTCTCAAACCTGGAAACAACCCAAATGCCCAATGACTGTTGAATGGATAAACAACTGTGACACATTCATACAACAGAATACCAGTCAGTAAAAAGGAATTAGTGATACATGCAATAATATGGATGACTCTCAAAAGCATTATGCTAACTGAAAGAAGCCAGACACAAGAGGCTACATTCTTGTACAAGAGAGCAGGGGAAAGAGACTGGCTTGAGCTCTTCATCGTGGTTCATGGGTGGGGTCACAGTGAGTGAGGGCTCCCTCGCACAGATAGGGGCTTACATAGTTTAACAGGGCAAAAGGAGGGAGTTGGGATTTCTTATCAGTTGGCCCAGATGTGGGAGAGAAGGGGAAGAGGGAAGGATGAGACTTAAAAGCTGTCAGCAAACAACAAAATAATGGAATCAGACTCTATTACAGGGTATAAACTGATGAAGAACTCAGTCCAGAGAACTGCTTTGTAGTGCTAGTTCACAGCTGTGGCACAGTGGGAAAGGCACTAGACTTGGGCTTTGGAGATTCAAGACAATTTGCCATCCCTCTGGGCTCAGCTTTCTCATAAACCAAAGTGAATAAAGTTTCTTCTGCACCTTGTAATCACAGGGATTAAATAATAAAATGGACATGAAAGTACCTACATAGGTGACTAGCACATATAAGGAATTTCATAGATGTTAGTTCAATGACATTTGTCTTCTCCGATACTCAGAAATAATTTTTGCTGATTTTCTTAGTATTCACTTTCTAGAAAATAATGGCACAATGGATGCAGGCTTCCTTGGGATAAAACTATTTCTGTCTCTAGATAAAAGTCTATTAAAAAGAATGAGTCTCTTTGGTTTTATCAATGGATGATAGAACTCTGGTTTCTTTCGATTTAAACAGAAGGGAAAATCAACATGCTCTGTGACAGAACTGGTGTCCAAAAATTTCTTCACAGGCAAAAGGCATGAGCTAAATTTTAGAAGAGAAAAAGTAGAAAGGATAATAAATGTAAGAACTCGTATTTGGGTCCAGAAATGATTTCCCAGATTCAGGATGGGAAGCCATAGTTTAATGGCAGCAGGGGGATAGTAGATTCAAAAAGAATGGACAGTGAGAGATGATCAACAAGCAAACAGATTAAACTTAAGATTTTGTGAAGTCAAATATGTGATACAAAAACAATCAGTGATAACCCTGGATGTGTTCTGCATGTTAACATTGAATATAATTCTTGGCTTAACACTTTAAAAGAACATGACCCAACAGACTAGAGGCCACAGAACATGCCTGGGACTTGCAGAGTCAGGGAGCTTCCCAAGTTCTTTTGCTTAAGGAATCAGCCTTCTTTCCATTATAGGCTAGGCTGCTGATGAATAAGAAATTGTCTGGAGGCAAGTCTTAAAGTCTATTTTCTGTCTTAAAGTCTATTTTATCTGGTATTAATATAGCCATTCCAGGTCTCCTTTGGTCATTGTTTGCATGGTATATCTTTTTTCTATCCTTTCTCTTTCCACTAATTTGTGTCTCTAAATCTAAAGTACATCTCTTGTAGACAGCATGTAGTTGAATCAGGGTTTTTAAAAAAAATCCATTTTGCCAATCTCTGCCTTTTAATGGAGTGTTTAATCCATTTATACCTAATGTATTTACTGATAAGGCAGGGTCTATGCATGTCATTTTGCTATTTGTTTTCTACATGGCTTATGTTCTTTTTTTTTTGTTGTCGTCCCTGTATTTACTACTTTCTTTTGTGTTAAATATTTTCTAGTGTACCATTTTAATTCTATTGTCATTTCTTTTACTACATTTTAAATTTTATTTTCTTAGTGGTTACTCTGGGGATTA